CTATAGAGTTGATTCATTGGTAAATTGATGAGAGTTGAAGCTTTATTTTATATAATCATTTCACAGGGAGTTGTCATCTCGTGTTTGGTGTTAAGATTAGACAGGTGGGTAGTTAACGTGACCTATAAGTGTGTGGGAAATTCTGGGGGCGTTACAGGTATCCTCCAGCTCCTTCTTCGATGAAAAACCCCTTCTGTCCACATAGGAATGTTTCCTCAAATCGATGCTACTCATAAATGGATCTAGAATCCCCCTTGTGGGCTAAGGCATTATTTTCATATATATCGGTTCCTTAAAATTAGGGCACCCCTTTGATGCTGTACAGATGCGGTAACATTTTCAACTCAATGAGTTACTGCGCTGTTATACTCTCTTGAGCATCCTGACGAATTGTAGGCTCCTACCCAGCAACTTCTTTTTCCATATTCCAACATAATTCTCACGATCTTGGCAACACTCTCTCATCCTTAGCTTAATTTAGTCACTCTCGCAATAACCATCGACTATTGAGCAATTAACATTAAAAACCGAGAAAATAGGAATTGCATTAGCTTATGGTCCACTCGATGTATTCTAATTTCTTGTTAGGTTTATTGATAAGGACCTTCACATTTTCGCACAATAAATGCCCAAATGGTTTGTTAAACACTCTCTAACTGAGAGTTATCACTTTCCGAAAACCAACTTGTACGGAGAACTACCCAGAGGCGTTTTAAATGTTGTACGGTAGGCCCATAAAACATCATCCCACTTCATTGCCCAGTCTGTTCTATTAGTGCTGACTACTTTCTCCAAAATGCTTTTGACCTCCTTATTATATATCTCAGCTTACCGATTAGATTGATGGTGGTAAGTTGTGGATATCTTATGTCTAATGTTGTACTTAGCAAAGAGCAATGCTTATGTAACTTTGTTGATGAAGTGGGAGCTTTCGTGTCTAGTTATGGTTCTGGGTGTGCCAACCTTTGAAAATATATGCTTGTGTAAAAACTTGGCGATCATCTTTGCATCACTGCTAGGGCATGCTACTGCCTCGACCCAGTTTGATACGTAGACAATTGCTAGCAAATTGAAGAGATGCCCATTGGATGCAGGGAAAGATCCCATAAAGTCCATGCCCCAGACATCAAAGTGTTCCACCCCTAAGATGTATGTGAGGGGCATTTCAGACCTCTTGGAAATGTTTCCAAGTCTCTGACATTTGTTGCAATGCTAGACTAATTCAAATGCGTGTTTGAAGATTTTGGGCCAAAAGTATCTGGTATGAAAGACTTTTGCTGTTGTGTGCTGCCCTCCAAAGTGCCCGCCATAAGGAGCTGAATGGCATTTGGTCAGCAGCTGGCATGCTTTAGCATTGGCAATACACCTTCTTATCAACTTGTCCTGGCGAAATCTTATAAACGGATGGGTCATCCCAAAGATAGAAAAAACTTTTTAAGTTGTTATTTGTTCATGTCAGATGGCAACATCCCACTGCCAATATAGTTGGCAAAATCAGCAAACCATGGCTCATCGTCCTCCTCATTCAGAACTTCAATAGCTAACATTTGTACGTCAGGAAATTTTCCTCTAATTCCCTGGAGCTTCCTAGACCGATCGACCTTGACAAATGGTCAACAACCAAATTTTTTGTTCCCTCCTTGTCTTTTATCTATATGTCAGCATAATCCAGCAAATCAATTGAGGTTTAACGTCCTTCTTTTTTAGCAGATATTTCAATGCTGCATGGTCCGTATAGACAATCACCTTGGATCCCACCAGATATGCTCTCAACTTTTCAGATGCGAACACCACTGCTAATAGTTCATTCTCTGTGGTGGTGTAGTTGATCTGTGCTTCTATTAGAGTTTTGYTGGCATAATATATCAAATGAAACAACTTTCCTGTGCGTTGAGCAAGAAGTACTCCCACAACATAGTCGCTGGCATTGCACATTAATTCTAAAAGCTGCGTCCAATCTAGTGCTATTATTATCAGTGCATGGTAAGAGCATATTTCAGTATGTTAAATGCCTGAAAACAATCAGATGCGAAGTTAAATTCATTATCATTCTCAAGCAAAGAAAAAAGAGGTTTAGAGATTTTCGACAAGTCCTTAATAAATCTACGATAAAACCCAACATGCCTCAAAAAGTTACGAATGCCCTTGACATTCACAGGTAGGGTCAATTTCTCTCTTGCCTCTATCTTTGCATTGTCTACTTCAATGCCCTTGCTGGAGACTCTGTTCCCTATTACAAATCTTACCTGCACCATGAAATGGCACTTCTCCCAATCCAAAACTAAATTTGTTTCTTCATATCTTTTGCAAAACCTTCTTTAGATTTTCCAATGACTCTGCAAATGACTTCCGAAACACTGAAAAATCGTCCACAAATACCTCGACTACTGATTCTACCAAGTCAGAAAAGATGGCCATCATGCATCTTTGGAACGTTGTTGCGGCATTGCAAATCCCAAATGGCATTCGTCTCAACGCAAACGTCCCGTAAGTGCATGTAAATGTCGTCTTCTGCTGATCGTGAGGGGCTATCTTAATCTAATTGTATCTACTGTAGCCATCTAGCGAACAGTAATACTCCTGCCTACAAGCCTATTTAGCATTTGATCAATGAAGGGGAGAGGGAAATGGTCCTTCTTTGTTGCCTTGTTCAGCTTGCGGTAGTCCATACATATACGCCATTCTGTCACCGTCCTCATTGGTAACAACTCATTCTTTGAATTTTCCACTACATTCATACCGCTTTTCTTAGGCGCACATTGCACTAGGCTTACCCACTCACTAACTGGAATGGGGTATATGATACTTGCATCTAACCACTTGATAATTTCTTTCTTCACTACTTCCTTTATTACTGGATTAAGTCTACGTGGGGGCTCAATAGAGTTCATACACGCTTCTTCCAGCATTATCTTATGCATACAAAAGCTGGGGCTTATTCCCTTGATGTCATCAATAGTCCACCCAATTGCTTTCTGACGGGCCTTTAGCACACTCAAAATCATACGCTCCTTTTCCATGGATAGGTCTGCTGCTATGATGAAACGAACCCAAGTAGGCATACTTCAGATGCTGGGGCAATGCTTTAAGCTCTAGGATTGGCGGCTCTTCTATAGATGGCTTTAGCAATTTATACTCACGATTTACGATGTTTAAAGACTCATGCATATGCTTCGCTGACCTTTCACAACTTTTCATAATGTATAGGTAGACAACCTCAAGGCCTTTCTCTATGTCATCAGCATCACTGCCATAGTCAACAACTTCCAGATGCTCTAGCATGGCTTCTACTTCCAACTCTTCCATTAATGCTTCATCCAAAATCTTTAGCATTGAGCACTCTTCTGATTCAGTAGAGAATCTCATTTAATCGTAAATTGAGAATTTTACTTCCTGATCTTGAATCGCATTGTCAACTCCCATTTGTGGACGTCCACCAACACTCTTCCAGTTGTAAGGAATGACCTCATAAGGATGATAGGGACCTTTTTATCTGCATCATAATCCAAAATAATAAAATCAGCAAGGAAAATAAATTTATCTACTTGTACTAGAACGTTTTAATTTTTTCACTCTGGATGCATGATAAATCGATATGGAAGTTGCAAAGTTACTGTTGTGGGCCTTACTTCATCTTTGTTGGAATTTTGCTCGTGAGGATAGTGCTACAGGCCTTAGTCATTACCACAGTTTCATACTCTCCCAACTTTATCTTCTTTGTGAGTATCTTCTTTAGGAACCTCACATAATTTTGCATTTTCTCTAATGCTTCCACCAAAGGTATGTTAACATGCAGCTGCTTCAGCACATCTAAGAATTTCATAAACTGAACATTCTCCTCTTTCTTCTGAAACCGCTTAGGATATGGTGGTGCCAGTTTGTATTCTGCTAGAGCATCCTCGTGCTCTGTCTGCTTTCTTTTTTTAGACACTCTAATCTGTGTTGATCCCGCAATTGATGCTAACCTATTCACTGGGTTGACCTCCTCATTGGAAGAATTTTGATTTTCCCTTTGTTGCTCAACAATCTACACTGATGGTGTAGGTCAACCCATCTCTGCTGGCTCACTATCTTTCGTTAACTGAGATTCCCTTGTTCTACCTCAGTTGGCTCATTCACTACCCCTCGAGCATTCAGATGTGTCGGAGGTAATGCTTTCCAATTTCACAGTGTGAGAGCCTATCATTTCTCCTTTCCATCTCTCTTTGGTACTTCAGTATCACTCGACATGGCTCCATATGGTCTGCTTTTCAAATCAGTTTCTGACTGGCCTACTTACAGCTCTAGGTTTCTTAGTGATGTGGCCTGTCTTTGCACAGTGGCATCATTATTTGCCATGTACTACTTCATCAGCTTTTCCAAAGATGCAAACGATCATTCTGAAGGGTTCTATGCTACCATCTGACCTTGATTCGCAAAACCTGGTAGATAACTCCCTTTCTACTAATATGTTGGAGCATTGGATGTACCAGCATTATTTCCTCCCTGATTTCCTYGTTGGGGTGATTTCTCGAGCCGGGATTATACGTATTGGAGTATGAGTTGTTTCTACTATTATATGTATTCCCCAAGCAGTACACTGACTCTGGATTGCCAGGGCAATTATTATAATGATGATATCCATGCCAAAAAGAGTAAGAAAACCCTTGGCTGTGGCTAGCATTTGCTTTGCCGGTAGGTGCTCCCACTGTACTTTGTTGTGTCATGCTTCTCCTCACTAAGTCTATCACGTTCTCAATCTTTGAGTTAGGAGTAGAGTATGACTTAGATTCATTAAGTCTTTTGGTTCCTCTACCTTGTATAGCTCTAGTGTCCGACCGAGAATGCTTGTTGGACGATATCCTTTCCAAGATGTTGAATGCTTCAGCATAAGGTTTCGCTAGCAAAGCCTCATTTGGGGACACAACGTTGACTAAGCGCGTCGCATCGTCCAAACCATTGTAATACATTTCGATATGGATGCATCTTGGGATTCTATGGTGCAGACATTTTTGCATAAGTCGCTTGAAATGCTCCCAAGATTCGGTCACTGACTCCCCGGTAAATTGCTGAAAGTTGTTGATATCGCTTCTGTATTTGGCATTTTTGCTGGGTGGGAAGTACTTCATCAAAAATATTTCGGCCAAGTCATCCCAGCTTGTAATTGATTCTGAAGGAAGTGACATCAACCATGTTCTGGCTTCATCTCTGAGTGAATGGGTGAACAACTTAAGCCGCAACACTTCTTTGTTGTATCCTTCATCCTTAAACGAATTGCATACTCCCATAAAAAACTACAGATGCGAATGTGGGTCCTTTTTAGAATTTCCATGAAACTGGCCCGCTGTCTGGAGCATCTGAAACATTACTGACTTGAGTTCAAACTTTGGGGCTGTAATTTCACGTTCCGTGATTACTGGGTTGAAATTATAAAATGTTGGAGCTGCGTACGCCCTGATTTCTCTATCGATGGCTTTTGCTAGTAGTACAACATTGAGAGAGGGCACTATTACCTCATGGTTAGTAGCAACGGGAACCCCGTCTACTATTTCCTCAATCCTAACATTTGGTGGGATAGGCTGGTGCAAATTTGGGTTAGGCGGATTCATGTTTTCTTCAGCATGGGGCTCTTCTTTACTCTCTTCGATTCGTACGAAATGTGCGTTCTATCTCGTGATCTATAATATATTCCAAGCTCTAAATATTGTTCATGCACCTACACCTACACAAAAATGTGAGAAAGAAAAAATTTGATTACGCTCCATATCCACAAACACTATTGTTTAAAATAAAACCACTAAGTCCCCGGCAATAGCACCAAAAACTTGTTGCGTCCACACAACCGTATTGACAACATGTGCAAGTTTACACGAAATTGTCGATTGTAGCACGAAATGAGGTCGAATCCACACAGACTTTGGATTATATTCTAAACTATGTTTGCATATACCAAAATGTAAAAATAATAAAATATAGATGATTGTGTTGTATGTAAAACAATATCATAAACAAGCAGTAAATGATCTCAACAACATGCACACTTCAAAAAGTTGATAACAGAATGAAGTTAAAGCACTAAATCAGTGAAAGTGGGGGTTAATAGATATGGAAAGTGGGAGAGACTTAACATGCTTTCACTGACCTTTCAACCTACACTCTAGCAAGACAACATTCATTAATGCACAACTGGACATGGTTCCCTTCCGAGACACCCAAACATGAATATCTACAACTCCTGTTGCTAGGCTTCCAAGCAATATACACAAGTTCTAAGCATGATTAGGGGACCTCATTCCTAGGTATCCACAAATTACTAGAAAAAAGTAACTAATCACAAACAGAGCAAGTCAGCTACCCGTAAGCCCTTCCGGGTCAATATAGACACTAGCATACTGAATAGAGTGGCCAACAATGTTAGGTAAGAGTTAAGAAATAAAATAGAGCTCAATTTAATAACAAATGAAATCAGCTAGATGTTTGGTTGCTTATCAGATACAATATGTGAATCTCCCTCGAAGTGGGGTGTAGTTCAAGAAGACAGAAGAAAATTCAATGGGTAAAAGTAGAAGACAACTCAATTTAAGAAAATAAAATAAAACCGACGATGAAGATGACAGCTTGAAGCAGTAGTCGAATATCCTCCCCTGTAGTCAAGTATTTCCCCGAAAATGGAGAGATTCCTCCTCCTTGTCGTTTCAGCTCTCAAAAGTGTCTCTATTGGGATCTGTGTATGTCGGCTAGGGTTAACTGTCTCTTCTATATCGGGTCCCAATTTTAGGGCACCCAGCTCTAAGTTGTATGGACATGGTAAATTACCGTGTTTGGGCTGTTAACTACAAAGTAAATCCATGCTCTAGCATCGCTTCGCTATAGTTTTCAGCTGCTCTACCTTGCAAATGCTCCATCCACTCTTATGTGGACTTAGAACTCTCTTCATGTTTTGTTTTCTTTTTTAGACCTGTGCGTTTAAGTTAGAAATAAAAGAATTTAGTGCAATTTTTAGCCAAAGCATTCAAGACCTTGGACTTTTAGCTCCAATTTCACTTTCTAATATTATCTATGATATTTCGGTAGCTGATTTGGTGCGTCCCCTCTGTTGCAACTCGTGGACAGCAGCGTTTCAGTGGCATTCGGGCTTACCCACATCCGTTCGAAGCCCGATTTAGGCTACCCACACCTTGGCGAGCTAGATCTAGGTTACCCACACCTATACGAAGTCGATTTTGTGTGCCTAGGTGTGAGATCGACGCAAAACTTTGGGGCGCGGTTGTGAGTAAGTAGACAAGGGTCGTTTGCGTGCGTTAATGTGTGCTAGTTGGTCTCTAATGTGCTGTTTTGTGATGTTTAATATTGATCTTGATACGCTATTGTGCTAGGTAACTCTCGTTGTGTTAATTTGTATACTTGGTGTAATGTTGAATATTCGTCGGTGATAATGGTGGAATTTTGCCTTGCTAAACTGCTGAGAATTGTTGTGGGATGACATATGTTTATAAAGGATGCACGTTAAAATAAAATTATTGTGATTATGCATTCTTAGGACGTGGGCGTGCTTGTATAGTTTATATAAATGTTCATTTATGATGTGAGCRTGCTGGTTGAGTATATATAAACGTTTCTTTATGTTGCGAGCGTGCTGGTCTGAGTCATATTATTTTCTTATGAGATGTGGGTGTAATAGAAGCATATTTTCGGACTCCGTTCGCAGGCTAGGGGTTGATGTGGAGTGGGTTATGATATGGGACATTGGATTCTTGGGGAAAGTGAATGGGTGAGTGTCAGGGCCTCGGGTATAAATGGTCGGGGGCTGATACGTCACTAATTGAGTACCGAGGTCTCGGATAAAAATGGTCGAGGGTCGATGCCAAGAGTCTTTTGGAAGGAAAACTATTGGGGCCTTGGGTAAAAATGGTTAAGGGCCGATAAATGGTGAAATCATCAGGGCCTTGGGTAAAAATGGTCGAGGGCCGCAGTAGTGTCGGGGCTCTGGGTAAAAATGGTCAGGGACCGACTCTACTCGAAAGAGTTAGCTGTGGAAGGCTAGGATAGCTGTGATAAACGTAGAGGTGTTGGAGATGTTAGGGAGACTCGAGGTTGGTAACTAATTTGTTTATGGTAGTGGTTGTCGCCGAATCTTATAGAGTTTGTCTATGTTTGATTTCATAGTGTGATGAAGAGCATGACTATGAATGTTTCATGATTTTGTGTGAGCATGATGTTTTTGTGTTGTTGTTGAGGTCTACTTACGGAGTATATCTTATATACTCACCCCCCTCTACAATTCTTGTTTCAGACGAAGGATTCGTTGGCGACCATGGTGATGAGACGGAGGAGACATCACGAGCGAGGACCATAGGCTGCGTAGTTACTTTTGCTTAGCTTAGGTTTAGATGGTTAAGACCTTACTGTTTGGTCATTAAACTATTTCTTCTTATTTGAATAATTGGGAGGTTCCCACTTGTTGTCTACTTTATTTCGGAACAGGTGTTTATTTTAGTTTTATACCATTCATTGAGTTTGCCTAGTTGGAACAATAAATTTGCCTCATAAGGTTGTCCACGGATGATGTTTGATTTATATTCTATAGAGTTGATTCATTGGTAAATTGATGAGAGTTGAAGCTTTATTTTATATATTTATTTCACAGGGAGTTGTCATCTCGTGTTTAGTGTTAAGTTTAGAGAGGTGGGTAGTTAACGTGACCTAGAAGTGCGTGGGAAGTCCTGGGGCGTTACAATAATATTTTAGAATGTCAAAGGTCGATTGTTTCAGTTGGGGGATAGACCTGATAGCAACTACAAGACAAAAGAAAGAGATTAGAATAATAATTAAGCAAAATTATGGAACGATAAAAGACATGACGTCTTACCTAAGTTACCAAATCTACGCAGAACGTTGTAAAATGGCTGGTCGGACTCGTCGTTCGCCAACCACTCTCTAATGGCGTAGAACTGTTTTCCTACCTACCTCTTTATTGATGTGGGACATTTGACAGTTCCCCCCACACCTTGCGCATAAATAGTAACGCCCAGGAGTTTTGGAGATATGCTTCACCTTGAAGCAAGCAAGGAGCAGCTCGGCTCGGAAAAGCTCTAGACCATCGACTTTTCGGCATCTAAGTCATAATAGAGTGGCTAAACCAAACGCAACAGCTCAACAATTAGGGGCAACCTTTGTTAGGAGCAAGGCTTGTTTTGCTCGAGATGGACAAGGAGGCGGAATCTGTATTAAAAATTTTTTAGGTAGAGCGTGAGCACCCTTTCGGAGGATCGTCAGCTCGTTCCACTTCAGACGGGAGGCGTAGACCAGTGTTATCAGGGATGCTATATCACCTTCGAAGAGGTCCTAAATAGTTTTCAAGCATCTGTGAAGGGTATTCCAACCCTTGGTCTGATGTGGAAGCATCGCTATCATCCCCATCATCATCTGAAAACCTAAAGTTTTCTATCTCCTCGAGCTCGGCATCTAACCTATCAGCTCATTCGTTGCCAGAGCTAACTCTCTTAGGGGACGAAGTGCTAGGGTTCCGACCTAAGCTACCAAGCGAACTACTACTAAAAGAACTCGACATTATAACAAAGGAAAGCAATAAAGTTTCAAAAGGCAGAGTCTGACCTAGAGTGAAGTTTCGACTTGCTTGGGTCAAGCTAAAGATTTTAAAAAAGTGTAAAATGCGGATATGAGCATCATGGCTATTTATAGTAGTCTGAAATTACATCTCTGCAGTACACGTGTCTAAAAAGCGACGAACTAGATTGTGTGGAATGTTCAACGTCGAAACACTTGAGTGCTCTGACAGTTGTCATTTCAACCTTTCAACTTCTCCAACGGCTATAAATTTTACCATGAACTCGAAAGTCACCACGTTGGTCGATTCCCATCGAATAAAAACTTCTTTGTCAGGTCGATCTTGAACCTTCTAGCGAAGGGGCCAATGTTTGGAGAGGAAAATCACCATGCCACATGGAGGACAAGAACATACCCACATAGGCGAAGTTTGAGTTAGGTCCACCTTGAACTTTTCGAGGTGGAAGACTTAGTCAATTGTTTGCCATGTTCTTCCCATGAAAAGCTTGATCTTCTCTGAGGGTCGACATGGCGAGTCCGACATGTCCGATCTGCCTTCTAACACTAGTAACCATCGGTCAGAATGTCTCTTCAACCTATAAACAGAGAGCTCCATTTCCATACCAGGTATCGAACTTCTCCTCAAACATCCAATTGAGTTCGACCTGTTTTACTGACTTGAGCGTCGGAGAGTTTGCCCTCCTATGCAGGTAATCCTCGTGTGCTCTCGAGTCAGCAGGCTTCCATGTCCGACCTTGACTAGGTCTGACTTCGATTCATTTTCTGCATAAACAATGTCAAAGAAAAACTTATTTCTACTCACCTCACTTGAAAAGATTTCCATTTTGGCTTTTAGCTGTGAATATATTTGTTGTACAATTTTATATTTTTTTATTATATATTTAGGAAATATTGCCTAATTAACCCTTGGAATTTTGGTATCGTTACTTTCGTAGTCCTGAATTTTAAATTTGAATAGTCCTCGTAAACTAACAAAAATTTGATGCCATAATAATTTATTTAACAAAATTTAATGATCATA